ACGTACTTCAAAAGGTATGTATGTACTTCACATACAAGGTGCGCTATACAAACTCCTCTACCGAGATCCCAGAGTTCCCCATCGCTCCGGAAATAGCTCTGGAACTCCTGATGGCCGCCAACTTCCTTGACTGCTGAAGATTGCGACAATTCTAAAAAGCAAAATAATTTTCAATATGCATTACTTTAATTGCTTCATAATTCACAATAAATTTTGTCACTTGATTACTAGTATAAAGTTCTGGTAGTTGTAAAATATTTTACGAATAAGATTTAATTTTGGTACCTATTGCTATTGTGTTGATGATTTAGAATGCTGGTCAGTGTGAACGGGCCCTTAGATTTTTTCAGTTAATACAGTTGTAAGTCTCATGTTAAATGAATTATAAATGTTTTTATAAAAGAAACAAGTTGACCGTCTTAATAGTCGTTATGCTTTTATCAATTTTTAAGTTAGTTTAATTTTTGGATAATCGGTTTTTTTATATCATCTGTCAAAAACGTGCGAAAGCATTTTAAAATTGGATTTTGTAATAAAATGGTACTTGCCTTATCAAATGTTTTATTTTATTATCCTTGTTGACATTTTCATTCTCAAAAACTCAAATAGAGCGAGCGCACACCTTTGACTAAAATATCGCACAGCTGTTGAGCGATTGTCGATTGTTTCGCAGCCAATTCAACTGTTTAGTTGCACAACTAAAGATCGAGTACTGTGTACCTCCATATAAGCTCGTAGGAATCAAAACAACAGTTCTGCGATAGTTTTGTTATATTTAGCATACGTTAGACTTCTAAAGGGATTTTTAAGTAAATTAAACAACAAAATGTAAATGATTTGTCCTTTATTCAGTTTGCATAAACAAAATCCGGTCCAAATCAGTATTCGGTTATCTGTAAAATAATCTCGGCTTCACATCTACGATATATGGACTACGCTTTCCGCTTACAATATTATATACTTTGGAATGACATCCTGCTTAACGCTAACGCAATACGAAAAAAAAACAACTTTACAAATAAAATCCGCGAAAGATTAATAAATAAATTCTGACATAACTAAAAAACTAACCAATTTAATGCTCTACGAATCTAAACAAAATTCCATCTGAGATCTAAGCTTATAATAAAACTTTGGATAAGAGTTAAAATAATTATGGATAACCGTTTTGTTTTGTACATTTTTACAGAAAAAAAAACAAAAGTCTATAGCAGGTAAATACTGAGTTAGAACGTAGAAAACTAAATGCTGGGTCAAGTTGTGACACTAGATTCACCTTAACTAAATTAAAATGTACATACATTTTTAATACACCATAGATTACAGAATAATACTAAACTATTCTTACCAACCATAGACAATATAGAGGAGATTAATGCTCTGTAACGCAAACCATTTAAACTATAGACAATATAGATATGATTTTTCTGTCACAAAATCGAATCGTAAGCATTAAAAACTAAGTGTACGTATATTTGTATGAAAATAAACAATATTTTCGGTGCATTCTATTAATTAAAATTATTTTTTGCGAGTTTTACATTTTTAAATATATTTTTTACTGGCAACTAACGTCAGCTGGAGTACAAAATGGAGTTTTGTATAAATTAATATGTTTTGTTATATGCAGTAAAACATAGATATGTGGAATATCTTCATATTGACAACATGATACAATATCTCAGAAGCGCAACAATGCCGATGATATGTTGATACACATACAACTAACATACAGCCTTACAAATAAACGCGGTATTAACTTAATCTTCGGAATAAACTGGGTATAAACACAATTTGTACTAATATTTGCTTATACTCAGTTTATTCCTAAGTTTAACTTTATACCGCGTTTATTTGGAAAGCTGAGAGACTTTACGCAAGCATAATTAATTTTTATAAAACTTTTTTTCCACTACGGATATATCTTCCACGAACTATGGTGACCAAATTAAATTTTTAGTGAAACTTTCTGCATCGAAATTGTGGAATTACAGAAAAAAAAAACAAATTTTGCGTCGACAAAACTAAAATTTTACAATTGCATGCGCAAAGTCCCAAATGACAATACAATAATTTTTCATCCTTTTCACGTATTTCCTACCGTAATTTTTAAACGAGCGAAATTGAATAAAAAAGAATCGCCATAAATTAACAAATAAAATCTTGTATTTAATATTTCCCTACGTAAATTTTAATCTGTTGCTAATTTAATCTGTAGGATGTCAATAATGTTTACGGCAGGATATACGGGGGTGGACACGATTGATAAACTCGAGTGATACAATGACATATATGAGTACATGATAACATACATCCTGATACCGCATATAAATATGTTACTAATAATGTTAACTGAAAAATAATTCAATATTAAATGAAATTGTATTATTTGATGATCAAATCAATTATAAAAATATTTGTTTTTATTTAAAGTAATTAATAAAGAAACCACAAGTAACAAACAAAAACATTTTCCAATATAGAGACATATCGAAAAAAAAAATTCAGATTTTGACAAAAACCTCTGTTTGCTTTTTACATCAAAATGTGACGCTGCATAAATAACAGTTCCTAGTTATAACGAACTGACATCTAACTGCTGCAGAGGGTCTAGCACGAATATTTGCGATAAAGTTTTCTTAAATCGCCAAAAATAGGACCGCGACACAAATCTAGTACAAATTTTGTCGAAGACGTTACGAACATTTTTTCGCAAATTTTCTTGCTGGACCTCTTATTGAGCAAACGATAGACTGTCTTTTGCGCTTTTTACTACCGTAAGTAGCACTACATACGCTCCCAAAATGAAATAAGCTCTCAACATAGTAATAGAGTCAGAGAAAAGTCAGTACAAAAACATGCTAATTTTTGTATGAAAAAAAAGGTACAAAAATTTGCTTTTTACACATTTTTTGTAGTGAAAATTACAATATGTAAATTAAGACAAATAAGTACATTTAAAAACGACGACAGAAAAAAATAAAAAATACAGTTTTTTGTATTTAGAAAATCCGAAAAAATGATTTTTTAACGTAAATATATCGAATAGCTGTATTTAGCAAACTACGGAAGCAGGGTTAACAAAATTAAGTAATCTGTAAATGCCCGTTACAAAAAGTCTAACCTCTTCATAGCCCCAAGTAAAGCTTAAAAAAATACCACTACAAAGCGAATCATTCGTCAACATTCTCTGCGGGTACCATTTTTTTTGCCATCGAGTATATCGGAGGTTCTATTTTCCCTGAAATCGCTTGAACTCTACTTTTAACAGATTCTAACGGCGCTAAATCTATTTTAGAATCATCACAGGATGTCGAATGTTGGAAGGATCCGCCTACTTCGGTGTTGCCATATATATGTTGAGGTTCCCTAA